GTATATTTTGACCAATATTAGGTACAGAAATAGATGTTCGTTTTTTTTTTCTTTTTTTCTATCGCTTCGTCTTTGTTATATCTTTCGTACAAACCCGACTATGCTACCATCACTAACACGGTTGCACCCAGACAATCTATTGCATTTAGGTACCCTAACTTATGATACAGAGGAAGTATTCCCACAAAAAAATAAAAAATCGAAGGACAACGTACACCAGTACCAGGTACTACAGCAGTGCAGTATGCACCAGCGCATTAGTGTAGGGTAGGCACCGCACCAAAGAAAGAGGCAGCAGAGGTGGCAGGCAGCCAGCAAAGGAAAAAACAAAAATAACAAGGAGCTCGAGGTATCGTCCAAGATCATCGTAGAGAGGGCATGGAGAACAAGAAAGAAAGAAATTATTGTGTGTGGTGAGAACGCACGGGTACCAGGTCCTGTAGGTGAAGATGACGAAGGTTCAAATATTTGGTTCCTATCAAATGCTGTCTTGAAAAGCTGCGCAAATATTTGGTTCGGAGCAACTGTTAACTACTCCCGGAGGCAACCCTCTGTCAACTATTCATATTTGTACTGACAACAATTCTGAACATTTTGTGCTTGAAAGTGAGGGGGCGGGGGATCGGAGGGAGTCCAGCCTGATGTCATTGGAAGGAAGATTGAGATTGGTTCCGGAAACGTACATCCTCGAATCAATAGTGCGTGCATGTATTATTATCTGAGTCACCGTCATCGAGACGTAGATAACAAGTTAAAGTCAATCGAAGCGACAAAAAAACAACAACGAGTTTTGCCCCGANTGTTTTCGGCTCGCACACACCGGAATATCAAGTCTTTCTGTACTCTGAATAGTGCCGGTGCCCGGTATAGTGCCGCTTTGCTCTCTGAACACATACCGGCACTATAGAGGGCCCCCTACTGTATTCATATTGCATCACGTCCATCATCAACAACATATTCGCCTGATTGAGAGCGTAGCATCTGATTGAGAGCGAGATTGCGCGATACGCTGTAGCCGGACTACCACTGAGAGGTGCAGCTTGCTGTGTAGCTTGAATTGAAGGGCTAGCCCGTAGCTTCAAGCCGCTCCCCTGGTCATCCTGTGGGAGTCTCTCGTTGTGGAGCTACAGCGGGGAGCAGAAGCTACAGCAGAGCCCACCGCCCGACGCGATACCGCCCTGAAACAGTTTGAGCAGAAATAGCCAATCTGGGCAAATCTAGCAACTTGTCTAGCTCCTCGCTGCAGCATCCGATGACGATGACACGCATATGCTCGCGAAGCTGCTGATGAGACCTTCAATTTGCACCGCTTCTTGGAATAGCCCGTCCCCTACTTGCCAAGAAATGGCAAGAGGCGTCTGGACCCGAAATTTCAATTTTTTTGGCTCTCGCTCTCAATCAGATACTTCGCTCTCAATCAGGCGAATATGTTGTTCATCATCTTTTTTTACGCGAGTTGAAGCCACCCAGAACGAAGTCGAATAGATTGCAAAAAAGGCTATCGATTCATTGCTAATCTATCTTATAGACTTATTTCTAAAGATAGAGATTGATTTGTTGTGTGATATCAAGAAAAAAAATAAAAGACCAACCACCATCCCGGTAATCCTCTCGTGACCAGAGACCACGGTCGTCTCATGACCACCAAGTATCGGCAACTACTTTCCAGAAGAGCAACTATTTGATTGCAGTCAACTACTGTTTAAAAGCTGAGCAAATATTTGGTTCCAGTCAACTACTGTATGCATTGAAAAGCTGCGCAAATGTTTGATTCCTGTCAATTGCTGTCTTGAAAAGCTGCGCAACTATTTGGTTCCGAGCAACTGCTGTCTTGAAAAGTTGCGCAACTATTTGTTTACAGGCAAATACCGGTAATAATAGTAGTTGATTACACTCAAATAATAATAATTGTATTTACATTTGATATTTGTACGGGGCGTGGAATGTTTGGCAAAAAAGTTTTTTGTGCAGTTTGCGAAGAAGGTGTACCGATTCAGGTAAAAAAGTCAATCGACGGATACCCTGCGAATCGGGTCCTCCTTAACAAGATGCTATTTGCTGTAAGAACCATCCGATACACGAAGTAGAGGATACAGGATCCGATAAAAACATGCAGAAGCAAAAACCAAGCGACACCGCGAAAGAATGACTGAAATATCCACCCCGCGAGTAGTGCCGCAAGGTTCGCTCGACGCTAACGCCCTGGCGATGAATTAGTGGTGATACGCGGCAACCGAATGTACAGTTAGTTCTCTGACAGTTTAGAGTTTGAATTGAAGAACTTGTGGCTTGACGTCGAGTAAGAACATCTTTCCTATCGTTCGTTCGTATGGCGGTTTGACAAGTTACAACACAAATGACCACAACACCATTTTCTCGGTGCCGTTGGTTCCGTGTCAAGAAAATTCGTGGAAAAATCTGCGCGGGTCCGCTGAGCAAGCGGCTTGCGTACAGCACACCGGCTGAGGGTAACATGCGTCAATATTGGGTATGGCGTTTGTCGAAGCTAGAATAAGAGGAATGGCCAAAATCGGGTACACCCGGCCCCAATCCGGCCATTATCGGGGACCTTGTTTTACAAAGTCGGCAGCGCCCTCCTGGTGCCATCTGATTGGCCTACGCCCGCCCCTACCCGGCCCTGACCCTGTTTCCACCGGCGGGTGCACCCGATCTTGGCTACTCACCCCCCGGAGGGTACCCCCGGAGGGGTACCCGATCTTACTCTCGCCTACCCGAAAATGGCTGGGCTATTCGACCAACAGACCACCAGCGGACCACGCTCACGAACACACGTCACCAACCCCCCGCACTCGAGTTCCGACGCTTCCGACGGCGGGCGGAGGTTTAGGCCTGTCCTCCATCGGCCGTTTTGCTTGTATGACGGAGAATAAGAAGGTGGAATTACTTGAAATTAGAATAGAAATAAAGTTTGTGTATCTAAATCGAAAATAAAACGGCCGATGGAGGACAGGCCTAGCGGAGG